CAGAAAAATGTTAATTTACCCCTAAAGCGCTGGAGTAGAAGGGTGCAAATAGGGAACACGCCATTCTTCAGAAGGGAGGGAAAGGGATTACAGTCCTAGGATTATTGTTTCCCAAGGCAAAGTAAGATGACTGCATTGATCATTAATATTGCCGCTCCAGGGCACTGTGGCAGAAAGCTACTAATTAGGGATGAGCTCCAAGAGAAGAAGCTACCCAGGCAGATTGCACGCAGAAGGGGAGATCTGCAAGACAGTTGTCCCCAGGAGCCTCGTCTATGGGGAAGGGAGGGAGGATGTCTCAGGGACAGTGACAAATGGGGCATCTGCACTGTCAAATGGATGCAGTTTGACACCATTTGAACTGCCATGGCTCAGTGCTATGGGATCCTGGGTTTGGAGTTTGATTGGGCACCAACACTCTTCGGCAGAGAAATGTCAAATTATGTACAACTTCTATGATGTCAAATTACACTCATTCTACAATGTTTATGTACCCCAAGATAGAAAAGAGTACCCTTGATTTTTTATTCTCTTATAGGGCTACATTTAATGTAGATTTAATGCAGTTTGACTCCAGTTTAAACCGTTGTGGCTCAATGCTATGGATTCAAAGGAGCTGTAGTTGCGCAAGGCCTTTATCCTTTTTGGCCAAAGGATAGGAGTTTGCTGGTGCCTCATGAAAATTACAACTCACACAATTTCATAGCATGGAGCCAGGGCAGTTCCAAGTGGTGTCAAACTGCATTAAATCTACTGCGGATGCCTCTTATAATTGGTAGGGAAAATAATAATAATAATAATAATAATAATAATAATAATAATAATAATAATAATAATCTTAAGATAATAAGAAACAACTGGAAAAGCTGACACTATATGAGGATTTAAAGATCAAACTGCAAAGACTCTGGCACAAACCAGTCAAGGTGGGCCCAGTGGTTACAGTGCCTAAAGACCTTGGCCTGTACTTAAACACAATCAGCACTGACAAAATTACCATCTGCCAGCTGCAGAAGGCCACCTTACTGGGATCTGCATGTATTATTCTCCGATACATCATACAGTCCTAGACACTTGGGAAGTGTCCAACGTGTGATCCAATACAACAGACAGCAGAGTGATCTTGTCTGCTATGGATTTATCTTGTTATGTTTCAAATAATAATAATAAACTTTATTTATATTCCGCCACCTCTCCACAAGGACTCAGGGAGGTTCACAACAGAATCAAAACACAATATATATGTAAGCAAAATAAATCTAAAAGACCTTGTAAAACTACAAAGTCTATGATTCCATAGTATTGAACCATGGCAGTTGAAAGACTGCTAGAAATAACATGGAAAAAATATGATTTTCAGAGATATTGCCAAGAATGCAATGCATGACCTTTGGCAATAAAAAAAAAACATGAAAAATATGATTTTCAGAGATACTGCAGTGAAAAATACATGAAAAATATTATGATTTTCAGAGATATTGCAGTGAAAAAACATGAAAAATATTATAAATTTCAGAGATATTGCGGTGAAAAAGCATTAAAGATATTATGAATTTCAGAGATATTGCAGTGAAAAAATACATTAAAAATATTATGAATTTCAGAGATATTGCAGTGAAAAAATACATGAAAATATTATGAATTTCAGAGATATTGAAATTCAAGAATGCAGTGCATGCCCTTTTCTATGGGAAGATAAAAAGAAGAGTCCCACCACACTTTCATGCATGGAGGAAACCATGAAAATGAACAAAATCTGGCTACCAGTATTTAAAAAAAACTCTAAAAATAGGACAGTAAATAAATAACAACACTCTGAAAACTGGGGAATTCCAGACAAGAAACAATCATGGCCAGCTAATCACATCCCAACAAAAGATTCCCCCAGCCAGGATGCAGCCAGGCCTTGAAGCTACAAGGCTTTTCAATGCTAATGCAACATTCACAGACAACAGTTCTTTCTCCCACTCTAGACCTTCCACAGACATATGGAAACTAAATATATTCTAGGTTCCAATATATCTCCCAACCTCTGAGGATGCCTGGCCATAGATGTGGCCGAAACGTCAGGAGAGAATGCTTCTCGAACATGGCCATACCACCCAGAAAACTCACAACCACCCAAATAAGAGACCTTGTAAAACTAAGAAGTTTATGATTACATAGAATTGAACTATGGCAGTTGAAAGACTGCTAGAAATAACATGAAAAAACATTATTATTTTCAGAGATATGGCCAAGAATGCAGTGCATGTGCCCTCTTCCATTTATCTATCTAAATAAAAACGTTATGTTCGTTTGTGGGATTAACATAACTCAAAAACCACTGAACGAAAAGACACCGAATTTGGACACAGTACACGCATCAGGCCAACGAGTGACCATCACTCATAAAAACGCTGAAAAACGCAGGGGAAGAGACTTAAAAAGCCAAAAAAATTGCATAATACATTACAACGTATGTGCAAATCCACATATATACACATATACACAAATATATACACACAAAAAACACATATAGACAGACTGGGCCACAGCAATATGTGGTAGGGGACGGCTAGTCTATATAAATAAAAAACTAATGTTCATTTGTGGGATTAACATAACTCAAAAACCACTGGGCGAATTGACACCAAATTTGGACACAATACACGTATCAGGCCAACAAGTGACCGTCACTCATAAAACACTAAAAAACACAGCAGAAGAGACTTAAAAAGCCAAAAATAAAAATATATATTACAATACATGTGCAAAACCACATATATAAGCAAACACACTAATATATACACATATACACAAATATATACACACAAAACATGTATACACAGGCTGGCCACAGTATAAACACAAGCACACGTATATGCACATATATTTATTTATTTATTTATCGTATTTATATACCGCCTCTCTCAGCCCGAAGGCAACTTGAGGTGGTTTACATTCGAGAGTCAATGCCTCCAAACATCATAAAATATAGTTTAAAACATTTACATATAATATAAACCATATAAAAGCAATAATAAAACAATAAAAGCCATAAAACACAAGTCCTCAGCGTCTCATCACTAAAATAATTTTTCCGTCACATCGTCCAATCGTTCCGTGGATCTCAGTCTGTTACACTGCGTCTGCAAATGCTAGCTCTTTTGAAATTTTAGGAGGGAAGGGCCCGATCTACTATCCCTAGGAAGGCCGTTCCATAGCCGAGGGGGCCACCGCTGAGAAGGCCCTGTCTCTCGTTCCCGCCAATCGCATCTGCGAAGGGGACAGGACCAAGAGCAGGGCCTCTCCATATGATCTTAAGCACATAGATGGGAGAGATACATAAATACACACACAAAACACATATACACAGACTGGGCCACAGCAATGTAGCCGAGGGGCCACTGTTGAGAAGGCCCTGTCTCTCGTTCCCTCCAATCGCATCTGTGAAGGGGGCAGGACCGAGAGCAGGGCCTCTCCAGATGATCTTAAGTGCTTAGATGGTTCATAGGGGGGGAGATACATGAATACACACACAAAACACACATACACAGACTGGGCCACAGCAACGTGTGGCAAGGGGCGGCTAGTGGGAAGATAAAATGAAGAGTCCCATCACACGACTCTCTTTCGAAGTGTTATATCCCTAGGGCGTTCCATAGCCGAGGGGCCACCGCTGAGAAGGCCCTGTCTCTCGTTCCCGCCAATCGTATCTGCAAAGGGGGCGGGACTGAGAGCAGGGCCTCTCCAGACGATCTTAAAGTGCCTAGATCAGTGGTTCTCAACCTTCCTAATGCCGCGACCCCTTAGTACAGGTCCTCATGTTGTGGTGACCCCCAACCATAATGTTATTTTCGTTGCTACTTCACAACTGTAATTTTGCTACTGTTATGATTCATAATCTAAATATCTGATATGCAGGATGTATTTTCAGTCACTGGAACAAATTTGGCACAAATACCCAATATGCCCAAATTTGAGTACTGGTGAGGTTGGGGGTGATTGATTTTGTCATTTGGTAATGCTGGAGTTGCTGGGGTTTATAGTTCACCTAAAATCAAAGAGCCTTCTGAACTCCACCAATGATGGAATTGAATCAAACTTGGCACACAGAATTCCCATGACCAAGAGAAAATACTGGGAAGGTCTGGTGGACATTGACCTTGAGGTTTTTGGAGTTGTAGTTCACCTACTTGCAGAGAACACTGTGGACTCAAGCAATGATGGATCTGGATCAAACTTGGCACAAATACTCAATATTCCCAAATGTGAACACTGGTAGAGTTTGGAGAAAATAGACCTTGTCATTTGGGAGTTGTAATTGTTGGGATTTATAGTTCACCCACAATGAAATAGCATTCTGAACCCCACCGATAGAATTGGACCAAACTTTCCACACAGAACCCCCATGACCAACAGAAAATACTATGTTTTCTGATGGTCTTTGGTGACCCCTCTGACACCCCCTCGCGACCCCCGGGGTCCCGACCCCCAGGTTGAGAAACACTGGCCTAGATGGTTCTTAGGGAGAGATACATAAATACACACACAAAACATATATACACAGTCTGGGTCACAGGGGATGGCTAGTGCAAAGATACACACTTTCATACAATCCCTTATCAGCAGCTTTCTATGTCAATGCAAGCACCCCATAAACCAGGCATGGGCAAACTTGGGCCCTCCAGGTGTTTTGGATTTCAACTCCCACAATTCCTAACAGCGAATTGTGGGAATTGAAGTCCAAAACACCTGGAGGGCCCAAGTTTGCCCATAGCTGCCATAAACCAAGGGCAGGATGAGTGGGAGCTTGCATCTATTGGGTTTGCACTTGCACACACTGGAGTGGATGGGGAAAAGTGGGCTCTGGGGCTGAGAAATGGGGAGGAGACCCATTTCCAAGGCCAGGAAAGCCAGGGCAAGAAGGCGAGAGGGAAAGGAAGGGAAGGGCCGAGCTTTGTCCAGCTTGAGAAGGCGGGGAAAGGGTGAGACAATGGGGTCCAGTCCCTTTTTACCTGGTAGATGGCGGCCCAGCTGTCTGCCTCGTCCATCCGGTGGAACTCCTTCTCGATCTCCATGCTGTTGGGGGGCCAGGCCTGGCCGGCCCCCTTCTTCTTCTTCTCTGCTCCTGCCTCTTCTCTTTCGGACCCTGGTTTTTCCTCCTCCTCCTCCTCTTCTTCTTCCTCCTCCTCCTCTTCTTCCAGCCGCGGCTCTGCTTGCCTGCTCTGCATGGAGAGGCGCCTCCTCTTCCTCCTCCTCCTCCTTCTTCTTCTCCTCCTCGGCTCCGCTTCCCTTCTTCCTTCCCTTCCTTCCTTCCTTCTCTGGCTTTTCCCAGCCCACGGGAAACGACGCACGCGGCTCGGAGGAGGAGGAAGGGGAGGAGAGAAGCCCGGCCTCCCGGAGAGAGAAGCAGCAAGAGGAGGAGGAGGAGGAGGAGGAGGGTTTAGAGAAGGCTGGGCTTCTTTGGGAGGAAGGGAACGGGGAGGGCCAAGAGCCACTGACGCCACGCAGCCGCAAAGCCAAGGCGTCAAGAGCGCCTCTGGGCATGTGCAGACTGCCCACTCTCAGCCCACAATACTGTACAACAGGCATGGGCAAGCTTGAGCCCTCCAGGTGTTTTGGACTTCAACTCCCACAATTCCTAACAGCCGGTAGGCTGTTAGGAATTGTGGGAGTTGAAGTCCAAAACACCTGGAGGGCTCAAGCTTGCCCATGCCTGCTGTAGGATCATACTGACAATTTGTTGCCCCGGAATAGCAACGTTGTCTAGCCCTTTCCTTAGACCTGGAAATGGAGAAGGTGCTGTATACAAAATTGCCTTCCTTCATAATCATATGACATTATTGTAAAAACTCAGCAAAGAGTACAGATACTAAACAAGAACGTTAAACAAGCCACGAGAGTAAAGACAAAGGGTCCTTCCACACAGCCCTATATCCCAGAATATCTGCTTTGAACTAAGGGTCTGTCCACACAGCCCTATATTCCAGAATATCAAGGCAGACAATCTGTGCTGGTACAGCTGTACCAGGAGCTTCAATTCCGTTTGCTTTGCATTAAATGTTTGTTTGCAATCCCAGGCTTGGGATTTTGCAGCAGGGTGGCTTCCTGTTATAGTTTGCAATCATAGGGCAAGCCACCTGTCAGTTATAGTTAGGTTCCCTGGCCCTGCCCCCTTTTGAGTTTTGGAGGGAATAGGAGCCTTTTTGAGTCAGTTCTCACAGAGAAGCCTTTCGCACAGGACATAAAACGAAGAGCTCCTGTAGAAAGCTTCATCTTCTACGGCTTAGCCGGGGAGATATACAGCCTACAGCCTGACTGGAGTTATACAGCCTTACAGCTCCTCTGCTGAGGGACTTCAGCCAGCCATCACAGCAACCTGGACTCCTTCTTTTCCCCTGGAAGTCTACAAAGCTCTGTCTGGTAAGGGTCTCTCGCGGAAGCCAGAAGCAGTTGGTACCGGGTGTAGGGGCTCTATGCCAACAGAGGCAAGTACAGACTGCCCAGATTAGAAGTTAAGGATTTCCCCATTAGTTAATTACAGTTAAGAAGATAGTGCCTGTTCCCTGTGGACAAGATTGAGAGAGAGCCAATAGACTGTTAAGAAAGCTTTAAAGTACCTGTTTGTTTTCATCAATAAAGAACTTTGTTGAACCTTTAAGCAATCTAAAGACTTTGTTTTGGGGAGGCCTTTAATCTGAGGCAGCCCCGGCGTCCCGTTGGGCACACAGAGTTTATGTCCTGTCTACAGTCTTATGCACAGGCCCAGTGTGCGATAGCACAGTGAGTACCTTAAAAACGAAAGAACTAATGAACGAAATTTGGCAGCAAAATGTCTCACAACACAAGGAGTGACCATCACTCAAAAAATATGATTTTGTCATTTGGGAGTCGTAGTTGTTGGGAGTTATAGTTCACTTACAATCAAAGAGCATTCTGAACTCCATCGACGATGGAACTGAACCAAACTTGGTACATAGAACTCCCATGACCAACAGAAAATACTGGAAGGGTTTGGTGGGCATTGACCTTGAGTTTGGGAGTTGTAGTTCACCTACATCCAGAGAGCACTGTGGACTCAAACAAGATGGATCTGGACCAAACTTGGCACAAGCACTCAATACCCCAAAATATGAACACAGATGGAGTTTGGGGGAAATAGACCTTGATATTTGTGAGTTGTAGTCACTGGGATTCACAGTTCACCTACAATCAAAGAGCATTCTGAACCCCACGAATGACAGAATCGGGGCAAACTTCCCACACAGAACCCCCATGACCAACAGAAAATACTTAAGGCCATCCAATCCAACTCCCTTCATCAGGGCAAGAAAACGTAATCAAAGTCCTCCTGACAAAGAGCCATCCCGCCATAGATATAGATAGATAGATATGATTGACACAGAGATATAGTATCATAGATTTGAAAGGGGCCCCTAAAGAAGGACAATGATATCTTGCATGTTCCAGGGTGGGCAAACCAGACACTCTCCACATCAACACTGACAAAGAAACAGGAAGAAATACTGTTTATCCAAAAGCATAAAGAAATCACATATATTAGAAACCAACACTTTCTCATTACTTTATTTTCGAGATCAACAGACTGGGCCACAGCAATGCGTGGCAGGGGACAGGTAGTAATAATCAAGAATGTTAAACAAGCCACGAGAGTAAAGACAACAGGTCCTTCCACACAGCCCTATATCCCAGAATATCAAGGCAGAAAATCCCACAGTATTGGCTTTAAACTGGGTTATCTGATTCCACACAGTCATATATTCCAGTTCAATGTGGCACAGCTGGCTGGGAGTCACTGCATTAAGATCACTACTGACCAAAGGGTCATAAGTTCAAAGCCAGCCCGGGTCGGAGTGAGTGTCTGACCAATTTGTGTAGCTTGCTGTCAATCTTTGCAGCCCGAAAGACAATTGCATCTGTCAAGTAGGAAATTTAGGTACCACCTATGCGGGGAGGCTAATTTAACTAATTTACAATGCCATAAAAATCTCCAGCAAGCCTGTAAAGAATGAGGAAGTATTTTATCAGTGTCACAAATGGACGGTGAAGCAACAGCTCCCCTGGTGGCCAGAACACCCTCATGAAAAATTGGAATGTTAAATTGCCTCTGTGTCTGTCTATATATGTTGTGTGTCTATGGCATTGAATGTTTGCCATGTATATGTACATTGTAATCCGCCCTGAGTCCCCTGAGGGGTGAGAAGGGCAGAATATAAATACTGTAAATAAATAAATAAATGTAGTCCCTATGTGGACTTGTCCACAGCTGCATGGTATAAACATTAGACTCCTGCAGAGGTGAGAGTATCCGTCCTGTCCTTTGCTGAACTTAGCATTTGTTGGATTTTCTTAGGGCACTTCCACACAGCCCTATATCCCAGAATATAGACAGAGTATAGGTTGTGTTTCTTCATCAGCTTCCCTATGTGGTCAGTGGTTCCCTTGATGTATGGTAAGAACAGATAACCCAGTTCAAAGCAGATATTGTGGGATTTTCTGCCTTGATAGTTTGGGATATAGGGCTGTGTGGAAGGGTCCTGGGTTATTTGAAGGCCCTTTAACATAGTCCTAGATCCCAGAATATCAAGGCAGAAAATCCCACATCACCTGAGTGTGGATTCAGATAACCCATTTCAAAGCAGATATTGTGGGATTTTTTGCCTTGATATTCTGGGTTATAGGGCTGTGTGGAAGGGCCCAGAGATCCACCCAGAGGAAAAGTGTTCTTACCATACCTCAAAGGAACCACTGACAGGATTTTCTGGTATTTCCTTTATGGTGCCATAAAATACCTCTCCGCTTAAAGCAGTGCCTAATTTCTCTACTCACAGCACACAGCTGTTTTTGAACTGCTTAGGTGGACAGTAAGCTGGGCTGAAGTTTGGATGCTCACCCCGACCTGGGCTTCAAACTGCCAACCTTTCAATGGATAAGATCTATTGCAGCTGGTGATTAACCAGCTGTGCTAAAGCCTGTTGTTTTGAATCACACCCTCAGACTCAATGAGCCATGAAATTGACAAAAGAACCATCAATGTATTGTCCCTGTGTACATTTGCACTGTACAATTAAAGCTGTTTAGCATAATTTTAAGTGTCCTGGCTCAATGCTATGGGATTATGGGGGGTGTCATTTCACAAAGTCTTTAGCTTTCCCTACCAAAGAGTGCTGGGGCTTCCCCAAACCGCAACTCCTAGGTTCCCATTGTAATGAACTGTACCAGTTGAAGTGGTGCCACACTATATTCCAGTGGTTCTCAACCTGTGAGTTCCCAGGTATTTTGGCCTACAACTGCCAGAAATCCCAGCCTGTTTACCAGTTGAAGGCCAAAACATCTGGAGACCCACAGGTTGAGAACCACTGCTACATGCATTCTGCAGTTGATGCACCCTCTGTCTCATCAGGATTCGACTTGAGCTGTTGTGTGCTTTCAAGTCATTTCCTGCTTATGGGAACCAGAAAATGCACCTATAGTGTAGCTTTCCTGCCAAGATTTCAAAAAGGGTTTACATTTATTTTCTTTTGAGGTTTAAAAAGAGTATGGTTGCCTAAAGTCATAGAGTGGGTTTCCATGGATAAGCAGGGATTTGAATCCTGGTCTCTAGAGTCATACTCCAACTCTAAGACCACTACAGTATGCTGGTTCTTTTAATAAATAAATAAATAAATAAATAAATAAATAAATAAATAAATAAATAAATCTTCATTTATATTCTGCCCTATTTCCCCGAAGGAACTCAGGACGGATTCCAATCACATAAAAGGCAAACATTCAATGCCTGAACAGAACAACTAATAGACACATAATAACAAAAATTAAACTCCACTTACTACCACCAAATTCCTGGAAATCATCAAAGACAAGGTGCTGAGGGAATTCACAAAACATTTTCCTGTGGTTTGTTCATTTTAAAAAAAATCATTTGACTCTATAAGCTGCCAATCTTTGCTACAAAACACACACTTCTCCTGTCTTTTTCACTCTTATCTCACCTTCCAATGGAGATATGATGGCAGCCTGGGCCACAGAATGTCCCTGCACTTTATATTATTTTTCTATTATTTAGGCAGTATCACCATAACAGTCCATAGTGATTTGCAAATGCAAACAAAATTGAGTTATCCTTATTTAAATTATAATCACAACATATTGGAGTTATATCTTTATTGTCAGACATAGTGAATTATGGTCAACATTTTACAGGGAGGAGAAAGGATCCTTTATTGGACTTCTAACTGCTATAGTAGCAGTATTTTTAAAAGGATTGTGGGTTTTTGTTTTTTAGTTTCAGTTGTTAGATGGGAAAAGCAACAGAAACAGCTGTAACAAGGAGTGCTTCTTCTCTGCCCATGCTCAAGAAGCTACAAAGTTAAACTTCACACGAATTTGGCAAACGTTG